AGTCATGAGCCACAAGCACCCAGCATGTTTTTAACATCAAAATATTCTGCAATAACTTGTCCTGAGAACACTGCTTTTGGGGGGGGTTCATTAAGCTATATAATACAGTTTTTTAATTATCAAGTTTCCTATTCTTCCCAAATGCTCATCTGACATACCCATCATTCCTAGAAACAGTAAAATTGGCTTGGTTTTTTTTGGGGGGTGGGGTCAAGTAGGGTAAAAGGGGTAGTTTTAACAAATCAACTTCAGAAGTAAAAAGTACTAATTTAATAAAAGGAAGAAATTCTAAATAAATTACCTTTCTAAAATCTTCCACTCCTTTTATCAAATATATAAACCAAATATATACTGTGTTATAAAAAAATTCCCAACTGTCTTGGCTTATCAAGTATTTCCTAAAACCATTTAGAATTTATTTCTTTTCATTTTTACTACTTTATCTTCAGTTTAATGGTTGTAAGACAGTCTTCATCTAGACTATGAACACTAAAATTAATTTACAAATAATCAACAATAAAAATCATTTATGCATTAGCAGTTCTAGCATTTAGTTTTTCCCAAAGGCAAGAGCTCCTATTGGCAACACTTCTGATAAGCAGACATTCCTCAAGGGAGAAGGATGAGAAGGAAGTGCTCTTTCTCCCATGCATCCCCATTGTCATCTACCACTGAGCATATTCTAGCAATACAGGCTCACTTTTAAGGCTATATAAAATCTTTTAAGATTCAACTCTGTGCGTGGTAAAACTACAATTCTAGAATGGTGAGGAGGAATCAAAACACAACTCAGTTTCTACCAACAGGAACAGTTATACCATAAGAGAATGTGACGCGATGCTAAAAGATCACATTGATGCATTGTCACTTTAGAGCCAAAAAGAGTTGAACTTGTAGGACAACCCCCCCAACACTCTCTCAGATAATTTTAGGTAAATGAAGTAAAACCACAAGAAGACAATGCAAATGGAAAACAAAAAAAAAGGCAATAAAATGGCTTATGGTAGAGTCCTTTATCTAAGGATTCTAAACAAAAACATGAATGAGATTAGAAATTCTGAGCCTACCAACTTAGTTATTATAGAGGAGGTATACTAAAGAGGCTATCCTATACTAAAAAAATGTTGCTGTAAATAAAGCTAAATTCAATGAACCTGTTCTCTAATGTCAAAGTGAAACAGCTAAGATTCATTAAAAGAGGAAAAAGAAGGCTAGGCGTGGTGGTTCACTTCTATAATCCCAGTTACTCAGGAGGATTGCGATTTGAGGTCAGTCTGAGCAAAAACTTAGTGAGGCCTCCTCCATATCCACCAGTAACTTGGGCATGGTGGTAGGCACCAGTCATGCCAGCTACTTGGGAAATGTAAATAGGCTCATAGTCCAGGCCAGCCCAGGCAAAAATGTGGACCCTACCTAAAAATAATAATCCCCCAGAAAGGGCTGGGGGAATGGTTCCAATGGTAGAATGCCTGCCTAGCAAGCACAAGGCCCTTCCCAGTACCACCAAAAGGGGGACAAATAGGAAAATCTTTATTAATTCAGCGGGAAATAACTACTGATACCCGAGAACTGTTTTGAGTCCCACCATCCCAACTCAACAGGGCTACAGATTTCAAGGAAGTTAATTTGTGAAGACTAAAACCACCTACTATGTAATTTTAAACCCCACGTTTTGTAGTATGATGAATTAATCACTCCCTTTGATTTTTAAGAACATCTTTCCTAAGGCCTTTGTAAAGCAGCTAATGTCAACAACCCAAACAGGTTTGAGAAGTGAGTTATGTGTGTCTGCTTACATGTGCGCACACACACACCCTACATGTGTGCATGTACATGTATATAATAACCACAAAACCCAACATCTTAAGTGTACACTGAAAATGCTGTTAAGGAGTGATAGGAAGACGTTTATTCAAAATAGACCAACACAAATTTCTAAAAATTCTTTTTTTAATACTTGATGTGGGCATTTGGATACTTTTTAGCAGTTAATATTAATTTTTTAACACACAGTAACAGACAAAACGTCCCCAGTGTTACCATGAAACAATTCTGTGAAATGTACCCCAGTAGTGTTATTGTCATCTTACGAAGTTTCAGAGAAAAAAAAAAAAAATCGCTCATTCGAAAGACCAAGTCACTTCGTCCTTGCCCTACACATACGATTCTATACTGTATAAGGCAGCCAGAAAGACTGCTGTGTCTCACTTCTGAGCAGAAATAATTGGCGACATGATTTCAGGGTTTCTGTGCAGGGGGAGGGAATGAAGCAATTAGTTGAAATGCTTGGGGCAAAATGAGTGGGTGCTCTCATCCCAATGCCAACTCGAAGGCTAGGAGCCAACCCCTCACTGTCACACTTGCCCTAATAAAGGGGAAAAGGGTGGGCTCTGCATACCTACATGTATGTATTTTAAGTTATATATAGATATGTCCCTACTGTAAAGGAGAAGAAAGGTCAAGTTGATAATTGTGAGCAAAGATTACAATTAATTTTGCACAGATTTGAGAAACCCCAAAATTAGTACCTCAGAAACAGAATTTTTAATGATATGGTAGGAAAAGCAGAGTTTTGGTATAACAGAAATGCCTTATTCATGCTGGGGGGTGGGGTGGAAATCATATCCTTCAAAAAGACTTCAAAACAATCACTAGCCAAGACTAGTGAATGTTGTTCAGGAAAGAAGAAATACCGCATCCTTTTTCATTACACTACTAATGTAATATGCACATGGAAGTTGGACAGATAAAGCAAACTCTTGTGGCACAGTCAACTTTCATACTTACAAGCAGAAAAAAGGTGTTAATACAGGATGGCACTGGAAAAACTGGGTGAATAAATGAAAAGCTCTTTGTTTGATGATTAACACTTTTTACTGTTCAACTACTGTCTAGTTTGTGATTCTGAACACAGAATATTAAAGATTTCATATATTTTATTTTTGGTTTTCACTACAAAATATAAAGTAGGTTATTATTTTGGGGTGGGGTTTGGGAATCAAACCCAGTGACTTACACACTCTGCCACTGAGCTATATGTACTCCATCCTAAAGTTAGTAATATTATTCATCCTATTTTACACATGAGAAAATTGAGGGACATGCTGAGTAACATGCCATTGAAGTGGCAGAGTCAGGATTTCACCTCAGAATAGTCTATTCACACAACTGCCTCCAATAACCTCACAATTCTTGATGGGCTGGAAACATAATCTTTCCATCTATTATCTAAACAAAACCAATACTTTCAGCTGGGCATGGAGTGCAACCCCTGGAATCCCCATCACTTGGGAGACTAAGGAAAAAGTACTATGAATTTGAGGTCAGCCTAGGCTACATAACCAAACCCTAGTTTAAAACAAACAAACAAAAGCAATACTTCCTCAGGGAAAGGAGAGTGTCTGGGAAGTGTCATGGGCTAGATTGTGCTCCCCCAAAATTCACATGCTGAAATCATACCACTGTATTTTAGAATGTGACTGTATTTGGAGACAGTGCCTTTAAAGAGGTGATTCAGTTAAGACGAGAAATTGAAGAGGTACAAAGATTCCATGGATATGTGGGTACATAGCCACAGAAGAAAGACCATGTTAGGATGGTCATCTCCAAACCACAAAGAAAGGACTCAAAATGCAAACAACCCTACTGACAACTTCACCTTGGGATTCTACTTTCAAGAACTGTGAGAAAATAAATTTGTATTGTTTAAGACACACAAGTCTGAGGTACTTTGTTATGGAAGCCCTAGCACACTAATAGAGGACAAGGACACAAATCACCTAACGGAGTAACATGTATACATAGACTGCAAATATAACAGCAGCTTATCTGTTGTTCAAAACTGGACTGAGAGTTGTTAAGAGACTTTGGCCTTGCTAATGAAGCAGGAAAGAGTTCTATTTCTGAAGGATTATGGGATCATGGCTGTGTCATCCAAGCATACTCCTTCCAGCATATTAAGCCTCATCCTATCTCTCTTACAGAATCATGGCTGAAAGGTCCCCACAACTCTAACATACATGCCCTAACAAGCAAGGTACATGGTAAATTGAAAGAATTTCAGGGCACAGCTCAGTGTTGTTACCTCAGATCTTGCTAGAACAACATGACATTCATAAAAAATACAACCCACTGGATGTTTGGCACTGCTTGGGAATGAAGAATACGTCCACTTAAGAGCCAATACCCCAGGCTGTGAAAAAATCTCAAGCCACGGTTTCTTTTATAAATATTACCTATCTTTTTAAATTCTACAGTCTAGAAGGTGAAGAAAGTATCTGCTTATTTCCAAGTTTCCCTTTGCCTAAACACAATACACATAAACCATACGCAATACTATGTTAAGTTCTCAGTCAAGACACGTTGACAAAATTCTGTGCACCTGGCAAACAGCCTCCACACTTACATCCTTTGCTTGGGCCACCCCCACCCAACAACATCTACACAGAGCACACACTCTACCAACATTGACCACCTCTGTTCCAGCACACACTGAAAGGTGGCATTTACAGGTTACTTTTTCAGATACCAGCCAAATAATATTCCTGTTCACTCTCTCACCCACATTAGAACATACAAAATTTAACATCTGGAAGGATAAATTCAGCCCCTAGCACATATGACAAGGGTGTGCAGTCATCCAGGAGTTCTCAAGCAAGGAGGATCTGCCAGCTTCCCTCTGAGGTCCAGGCCTTGAAAGGCCAAGTGTGGTATGTTTGAGTTTCCATCAGGCCTGGTGCTGCTGGCTGGCTGCTGCTATGCTCAGTGAGAACCCCATAGCCCAAGTATCCTATAACCATCTCGCCCTTCAGCTGAATGCTGCCTGCCTAGCCTTCATTCTTGGAGCCGAGAATATGCTGTCTGAGAGCTGCAGGCTGAATGTTAACTAACACTTGGAGCACAGCTGACCGCTCTCTTCTCCAGGCCAGTGACTGCTCTAAAAAAACACACATTCACAGGAACATAACAAGAACGGGAAGAGGAGCCCAGATTTTCCTCACCATGTGCCACCCAGCCATGTTTACACTGATCGCAAGTCCTCAGGTTAATCTTCCCTGGCTGAAAACATTCACACGTGCAGTTTACCAGTGTGCAACGGATGGCCTGAAAAATAAAGGAGAAAAGATCAGCATCTGTTCAAAGCTAGTATGCTTTTTTCACCATTTTTAATAAGTAATGCTCACTTCTATTTTTAAAGGCTTTATGTTGGTGGAGGCCTGAAGAATCTTAAAAATAATTTTGTTATCGTAAAAATATCTTACAAAAAACGGTAAAACAACAAAATTTATTCACTAACATGTTTTAAGACGTTTGTAACAACCTGTAAGTTAGAAAACCATGTAGAATATGAATACAGGATTACATATTCCACAAGATGCTGAATTTGTAACATTGGAGATCCAAAAGAAAAAAAACAGTATTGCTGCTGAAAAATACTTTCATTTAAGTTTCTCTGTAATAATGAAAAAAAAGAAAAGCCCACATTCTAAGAAGATAGTGTTCAAGTGAAATGTTTGTGCAATAAAACCTGGCAGATATTACTATTAGAATAGTCCCTTTCTTCTGCTGAATTTCATGTTATTCTCATTCTTATTTTGAAAACATAAAATAATTCTCCTTTTATTTTAATGGTTATATAAAGTAAGTTTAAGTGTTTTTAGATCATATATAATACAAGAAAAGCAACTTATGTAAACATTTTATACCTGGAACAGTACAATGATACCTTAGAAAACCAAACACACACTCAAAAAAATCTTTCACTTCCTTATAATTACTTTAAAAAATCATCTTACTAGTTTGTATTATAAAGTGAAACCTTAGAAAATTAGCATAAATGAAGTATAACTTTTTTTAAGAACTGTGCTAAAGCTTGACTTATATTTCTTGACTACAGTTAATAAATTAATCTCATACATTTAACTCATAATTTGCATGGGAATTCTGAAGACAGAGGGGATTTGGTTTGTTCATTCACAGATTAACAATCTACTGTAAACTACCTGAACTGCCAGGAAGCAATCTCTCTATAGATTGTGATCGATGATTACTGATTTTGGGAGGGGGAGTGGTTTGGGCGGTGGGTTAGTTACCTGAAAGTGCAATTCTGTGCCTGAATACACTTACTCACATGCTCCAGAAGCTCACATTCCTGGAACCATTTGGATTTGTACATGAGCTTTCTCACTTACCAGGCAGTACTCTAGACACTACTGACAAGGTTGGAACAAATTCCATTTGAAGAGGCTCAAACTGAACCCTATTTTCTGAATCATGCAAGTTTAACATTAATTCTATGGGTGCCTATTTGGTTTTGGATAATGGAGTTTTCCTTTTCATATTTCACTTTTATCCCTAATTTGCCCTTCTGTTCACCTCTAGGCAAACACATATAATCTGCCTGATATTTCAGGGACTTTCTTCCAATGTCACTGTCCAATTGTACATCAAATAGGCTGCAGGTATTAGATGCAATAGGAATACACAGGTTATAAAGGTAAATTTTTCTTCTAAAAGTTATTTCAATCGCCACTAATTGATAGAGCAATACATCAGAATGTCCCAGTTTAGAAATAGTTTATTTACATAATATTCTCATTAGTTAATGAACTTGCAACTTGATTGTACCGTGACCAAAATAAAGAAAGTGAGTTTATGGTATGGTGTCAGTGTTCCACTAAAAACAAGGTGCTTTGCAAGGTACCCAATTATACATTCAAATATAGGAACTATATTAACATCAAAATATTTGAAGTATAAATAACAAAAGTTTTCATTAATAACTTTGTTAAAAACTCTTTACTAAAATAAAGGGATGGAAAATAAAAAGAAATGATTCAAATACTACATTTAACTCTAGCATAAGCAACATAAATCACTTTACTCATTAATTTGATGACAATAATTTTGTATCATATTTAAGGCATACTTTAATTTTAGCTTTAAAGCATAACTTTAATTTTAGCTATATTCAAGACCAGAACAAATTAAGAGACTATAGATTTGCTTTATATGTAAAGCAAATATATTTATCTATGTATGAGTATATAGACATATGCATATGTTTTCTTTATTATTACTAGCTAAATCATTCATTCACTTATTCCAAATCAGTTTATGATTCGAGTATTTTCTCCTCCTAAGTAACCTTATACATCTGGTACACTGGGAATTAAACTTTTCAGGTCATCATCCCTTTTTATGAATTCTACTCCTTTTGTACCTAAACATGTAAACACTGGAACACCTCGTCTCTTTTTGTATATAAACACTTAAGTACTGGAATAGCCATTTGTATCTCTATGAATTCCAGAAGGTCTGTTTGTTTTAAAATAAGATTTATATAGACTACAAATATTCCTTAAGGGAATTATATATATTTAAACAATATGGCCTAAATAAATATTTTGAGTAAGAGACTATTGTGGCTTCAAAGGAAGTTTTATTCTAAATAACATTTTTGAAATGACATAAAACTTTGACATACTATTTATGCACAACAGAATAGAACCAATGTGATCACTTGCCAACTCTCACCCACACTTAAAAAACATAAATTATCATAAAACTATCAAAGCTAGTTAAGCCTCAAAAAATGTACATACATGTGTTTTAAGGAGGCAGCTAGGAAAATAGATATGGAAGAGCTTTCATTCTTGTGAGCACATTCACTTTGCCCTTCCCTTCAGCTAATGTCGGAGTGCGTGCATCTCCACTGGACACTCCAAACAAGACCAAGCAGTATGTATCACATTGTTTTAACAGAAGCTCTGGAATTCCAGAGATGAGAAAGGGAACAGAAAGTTCAACAGGACTGCTCCCACCTCTCTCTGCAGGGAGCAGTATCAGGCTGGCTCATGTGCAGATCTGCAGGATGGATCCCTCCAGGACTATAGCTCACAGAGCCTGCCCTGGAACTCTTTCCTCAATTCTTAACATTTCCCCCCAACTCCTCAAGAGTAACAATATTAAATTTACTTATGCTTGTAGCTGATTAATAGTAATTACTCCTTCTGCTTACCTTCACTATGGATTTCTTGAAAGAGAAATCCATGCACTCAGTATCCAATGCTTCCACTTCCTCACCACCACTTACATTTTAATTTTGCAATCTGAATTCTGCTCCACAGGTTTCTGAAACTGTGCCTCTCTAAGAAGTGAAGTTCTCATCATATCTGGACCCTTTTTCTAGTTTTCTCTCTCAGACTTTGATGCAGCTTGCCGTGCTAATTCTCTTTCATTCCTGGGTGGTAGAGACTGACTATCCTAGTTTTTCTGGCAGGAACTTCTCACTCTCCCTCCACTGTAAATAAATACAGGTGTTTCCCATGGCCAGGCTCTTCATTCTTAATTTGGTAATTTTATCCTCTCCTTCAGCTTCAAATATCATCACCATTCAAAACCCATCACTTGAGAGCCAGGCACTATGTTGAGTATCAGGAAATAGAAGCAGTGCCCCTGGGCACAATGCTTGACAGTTAGTATCTGTGGGCGGCGTGTTTAGAGGAGAGACCCTAAGAACAAGAAGGAAATACTTAAATAGGTTTGAGAAGCACTGTCTCTTCCTCTCTATTCCTGTCCGAACCCCATGATTTTTCATTTTTAATAATTAACTATTCCACGTTATAATTAATAAAAGCTAGAGTAACTGAATTATTTGCCATTTTCCAGACATTGTATTAGGCAGTTTACAAACTGTGAATTCTAAGAAAATACCATGAGCTTGATGCTATTACTCTTTTAGTTCACAAATGAGGAGACTAAAGATAATTAGGTACCTTGCCTAAAGTCATTCAACTAGTACAGACACAGACACAGGTATGTATAAACGTTCTGCCTCAATGACCAGGAATCTTGAAGTATAATCCCATGCACAGAGAGACTGTCATGGAACAGAGTTTTCACTGACATTCTACCTTCCACCAAAAAAATGATCGGTCACTGCTTTTCCTGTCTTCCACTCTCACCATCACTACCCTAATTCCAGTCCTTTTTCTATTCAAATGGCTTCTAATTAATCTACCCATTCCTCTCTTCTCCTCATCCAAATGAATGTTCTCCCTCTTCAGAGTTCCACACATTTCATCTTTCTATATGGCACCTACTTTACTAAGGTTATATCTGCCCTCTTTTCAGCTTCTGCCTATTACAATAAAACTAGTGGATGGTGATCCCTATTGGTTGGATAATGGCTCCACTGCCCAATGGCTTTTTTTTCTTTTTTCACATTTCTCCAAGGGAATAGTCTCTACCTGCCCACCTTCCAGTCCCCACTCTGCAGTGTTAAATTTTGCTCACCCTTCAGATTTCCACTGCAGTACTACTCATGCCCCAGAGTTGTCCTAAGCTCCCACTGGAGGTAAGTTCCCCAGTATCTCTCGTATCTGTCATACCATTTATCATAAGCTGTGAATACTTTACTTATCTGTACGATTATTTGATTTGGTCCTGTATTTGCCTATAGAATTTAAGCACCATGAAGGAAGGGCAACAGCTCTATTGGGCCTAAAATGAATACTGACAAATAATAGGTGCTCAAAAGGCACTGAAAGAAATGCATGAGTCTTCAAGTCTCATCTGTAAAATTACAGAAGTTATGTTGCAACTGTGTCAATGGCTTTATGAAATAATGGATATGATACACATGGTACTCTGACTGGTAACAGTAAAAGCTTGATAAATGACAACAATTTATTGTCTCAAGAAACTTTCCACATAGTACATTCAAATGATTCTTTTTTTCCCTTATGATTCGTCCCAGTGTATTAAGTCTTATTCCAATACCTTGTAAAATGCTTAACACATATTTAGTCCTAATGAATAAGTAAACACTCTGACATATGTAATGTCATATTACTCAATTACTCATGCTATTATACTCTAAGGTGAGCACAAGGATTATTATTTCTGTTTCAAGCCTCTTAAATGATATAGTAGAGAGAGAGACAAATCTTCCAATTACTACTCAGCTTATTTCCATTACCTGCAGGGTAAGGAAGGAAACATACAATTAAACTAATGAATCTAAATGACAAATATTCACATTCAAAAGTATATCTAAGCTGGGCATAGTAGCAGACACAAGTAGTCTCAGCTACTCAGGA